TGGCAAAGGTGCGAAATGTACGAAAAATACAGAAAATGAAGTAAATACCTCTCGGGCCTCATGAGAGAGGTGGAATACGCAGTGGGTTAGACCAATCAATTGGATCCCAATCAGCTGAGACATACTATAGCTCATTGCCGGGAGGTTGAGCCAAGGACAACGCCAAGCGATGCCGTCTGCGGACAAATTGCACATCCAATCGAACCACCACCTTTCGTCAAGAGCATTGACTAGACGCTGTCGAAAGAAGTAGCCTCGAGCTGAATAGGCCGGGCAAGAGTCCACAACCTGCAACTTGTCCATTAACCATACCTAGGGGAGGGATGGAAAATGAGAAAATAAAGAACAGAGAGATGTAGGATGAGAGAAAATTAAGACAAGGGTTTTGTGAGAAAAACCGAGCCTGAGGGTCGAGTGATGTGAGCAAATATATATGTAAGGTTGGGTGGGAAACACTACCTGCAGCAGCAGTGGACTCCCGGCGAACCTAGTCGCCTCTCGGTGATAGACAGAATCTAAGCCCATCAATGTCTCGGCCAAGGTCATGGCAATACAGCTCTTTCCTTCTCTCAAACCTTGGGCGACTTCAATCAGGCGAATGCTAGCCCCGCCGAAGCCCGAGGAAAGCAGAAAGTGAGACAACAAACATAAGCAGAGGGCGTGTTGCCGGAAACCCTGCCAATAATGGTTGCTACGGTCGCCAGCATCGGAAAAACGATGGATCAAGCCGAGGATGTCCAGTTCCCCACTACAAATCAGAGATCGAGCGTCATGCGCCGTGAGCCCACACATCCGCCCTAAAGCCTGGGCGTGACCAAAACGGAGTTGGGGCAAGATCACTTCAGAGCACTCAGACTCCATCAAAACCTGAAAATATTCGAAAGTGGGGCACATCTCTTGGCCGCCAAAGCTAAAAACATGCGTCACTGGATTCCAGAACCTTGCCGCGGCATGGAGAAAAGGAAGCTGTAGCGGAGTACGGCTCAGCGTGAATAGTGCATTCAAGCCGAAACCCCGGAAATTCAGCTTTTCCGAGCCATCTAGAGAATAGATCCAAGATGTGATATTTTCTGTGAGAAACGCCTCCATCTTTGCCTAAAACTAAGATGAAATGATTGTTCCCGAAGTTGAGGCTTTTATAGAAGGAAAAATGCTATTCACGGGGACACGTGTCAAAAATCTGGAGGCTGCAGGACTGAATGGCCGGCCAGCCACCTTTTCTGGCTGGCCAACCATTTACTTTTTGCAGAAATGGCCGGCCAGCTGTCTCTCTCTACAAAAATGGCCGGCCGGCTCCCAAGATGGCTGGCAATGCTGCAGTGTATCTCCTTGGCCCTGTTTTACTCTTCGAGGGAGAATTCCAAGCATTTCCATGCAACGGGAGAGTCAAAGGCCTTCATCTCCCTCTGTTTCGGATGCGTTCCGATGCCCAGATTGTCAGAAGTACACTCTGTTGTTGCCGAGTTTTGTTTATCGAGTTGTTGTTTTGATTATCGAGTTGTTGTTTTGCTTATCGAGTTGTTTGTCGAGCGGACGTGTTTTTGAGTCATTGCGCTCTGTTTAAGCAATCTTTGTTAAAGTCTGGTTTATTTGTGTTGTTGCATTTTGCTTATCGAGTTGTAAACTTTCTAAGGTCTTGTTATATCTTAGTAAGTTGAGTTGTTTGGTTTGTTGCGTCGGTTCACTACCTGACTTGGTGATTACACAATGCGCATTTCCATTCAATTTCATTTTTGTGCAAAATAAATGATGCGATACGATGCTAAAAGTTTAAAATACAAACACCTTTTCAAAAGCTATTTCATTTCATCATGCTTTACAACAAACAAAGGTACAAGTTTTACAACAAAAATAAAACTGCCTAACAATGTGCAAAGTGCTACAAACTACTAACAAAAAGAAAAATAAAGCAGGAAATAGCAACATCAAAGTCCTCGGGAGTGGGAACGAGAAGCACGCCTCATCCTCTTTTGCGGGAAAATCTCCGCACCACCATCTGAGTCGGAGCTGTCATCCTCAGGGTCCCCCTCAGCCTCGCCTCTATTCCCCGAACCAAAACCGGAGCCCCCCTCCTCAGCAGATGTCTCTGACTGATGATCGGTAGCCTCCTCCTCCTCCTCAGTATCCTCCTCCTCCTCATCAGGCTCCACCTCCACAACGTGAGCCCTGCGTCTGCGGACGGGCCCTCCTCGAGCTCCACGAAAAGGCCTAGATGGCCCGGCTCCCCGGGAAGGCCGAGATGACCCCGCCCCGTGAAATGGCACAGATGGCTCAGCTCCCCAAGGAGGCCCAGATGGCCTGGCCTGCGGCTGACCGGACCATGAAGGCATCTGAAAACAAAGAGTTCAATTCAAATACATCAGTCCAAATATATACATCAGATTCAGATACAAGCAAAGGCTATATGAAGTGGGTGCATGTAAATACAGTGTACAAGTGAGGTGTGTGTCAGATGTGCTCTACACAAGTAGTCTATCGATGCAGTAGAAATCAGCATGTCATCAGAAGTATGATAAATGCCAGAAAACTGAAGGGTACCTGAATGCCCGCGACAGACAACTGTGCCTCCCTACGCAGGACCATGCCTTCGAGTGTGGCCACCAGTCCAACCACCTCCTCCATGTACCCTCGCGATGGCTGAAAAAATGAGCTCATAATCATCAGTGAACAGAAGAGTGTCTAAACATCTGAAATGATGAATGACGAAAGTGGAGCATACCGGCGGTGAGTCCGGATCAATGGCGTATCGATCACTGGGCATCGGAGGCTCTAGTGGAATCGGAATCGGAGAGCTAGTCCCATACTGCCACGCCATCAACTCAGTCGGCATATCTGGCCATCCGGGATGAGGATGAGTCGACGGAGTCGGAGGAAATGGTCTACTCCCACCTCTAGATGTACCAGCCCTGCTAGTAGAAGGGGCGTCTGCAACCTGAGCCCGAGCCTGGCCCGGGGATGATATACCGGCAGGCCTCATCATCGGAGTACGAGCTCCCATCAATGGAGGCATCAAATATATGTGACGGTAAGTGGCGTAGTCCCCTTCCGCAACATATAGTAAAGCGTCACTGCCCAGCATGGCGCCGACTACTTCCGAGTAAGAGAGCCTGTCAGCGGTCCGCATACTGGCTGGGGGTACTGCGGGAGGATCCTGAGAAAGATACCCCCATACCTGGCGCAGAAAGCGTTCCCCCAGGAACCATGCCCTGCCAACCGGCCCTTCAAGCAAGACCCTATACTGGGAGATGTCTGACGCTCCGGTATACTGAAGTCGGAGACCATCATCCAGAGACACCCAGGGCTGCCATGTAATCTGCGGATGAAGTACCTCTGAATGTCGCACAGTGTCAAAGTACTGTCGCAGGCGAAGGAGGGTCTCTCGAGGTCTCGGCCGGTGCGGGCCCTCGAATATCAATGAATATGGGGTCATGGGAATCCCTACCACCTCCAGCTCTGGGGCTAATGATGGGAAGTATACATAGACCCATAACTGAGAAAAACAGTACAGAATGTAAGTATGAAATGCTGAGAGCAAAATACAGACTGTAAAAGTGCGCTGTGTGTGCAATGTACAAGTAATGAAGAACAGAAATGTAAATCAAGAGGACAGAAAGTACCTCCCAGGCTCTCCAGTAGCCGCCAAGTAAATCGCCCCGCCCGCGGGAGGTCGCGCTCATATAAAAGTAAAGGGTAGCCAGGCCAGCGCCACCCCAGTCATATCGATGGATCTGTGATAGGTCAACCAGAGCACTCAGAAGGTATAGCCCAACTGTGTTCCCTCTGTCGGCGAACAGGGTAGTCCCGAAGAGGAACATCAAGAAACCACGGGCATACTGCTCTGTCTCCTCGGGACTCTCAGGCACCATCTCCGCCCGCCGGAAGTGGGAAGAGAACCAAGTGTATCGGACTCTCCCAGAAACCCTGTCAACAGGTGGGCGAGCCCCCAATAAATACATCCAAGCGGCCTCCAACTCTCCCATATCCTCATCATAGGGGATGGCCCAACCTCCGACGTCAAGGCCAGTCAACACAGCGAAGTCGAGGGGTGTCATGGTCATATCCCCGGTAGCAGAAAAATGAAAGGAGTTGGTGGTGTCCCACCATCTCTCTACCAAGGCTGCCATCAGAGTCCTCCTGGCGGAGCAACGAGACAACCCGACGCAGAAAGGCCCGAATCCTGCCAGATCTACCAAATCCCGGACACCCTCCGGCAGCTCGGCATACCAATCCCGCGCGGCAGTGGAGCCATACCCCCGCACGCTGCGAGAACTAACCTGCATTCAAAATGAATATATGTCAGTACAAAATGAATGAGCTGTGAGCCAATGAGATGAATGGGCTGTGTGCCAATGGAATGAAATGAGCTGTATGCCGATGAAGTGAAATAAACTACATACAAAATTTGGGCTGCGTGTTCAACTTTCAGTTAAATTGTGGGCTGCGTGTTCACTATCTACCTAGGCTGCGTGTTCAGAAAATTTAAAGTTTGGGCTGCGTGTTCAAATTTCAACTATTGTGGGCTGCGTGTTCACTATCTATCTGGGCTGCGTGTTCAGAAAATTTAAAGTCTGGGTTTCGTGTTCAGAAAATTTGAAGTTTGGGCTGCGTGTTCAAAATTTCAACTAGTGCGGGCTGCGTGCTCACTATTTATCTGGGCTGCGTGTTCAGAAAATTTAAAGTGTGGGCTGTGTGTTCACTTTCGAATTCGGGCCGTGTGGTCGACAAATCAGTGTTTGAGCCGTGTGTTCTAATGTGGGCTGTGTGTTCGCAATTAATTAATGAGCCGAATGTTCAGAAATTCAAGTGCTGAAACTACATGTTCAAGATGTAAGCAAAGTACTATGTCATAAGCTAAACTGCATGTTCAAGCATGGCAAGGGTGCAAAATGTAAAATACAGAAGATGAGGTAAATACCTCTCGGGCCTCATGAGAGAGATGCTGCTCCGGCTCTCTGAGAAGCAGATCCGCTGGCGCTCGCTCGTCAAAGCTAGTAAAGTGACGGAAAACAGCGCGCGGAAGGACATGTACTGACGGACGGTACCTCCCGGGAATAAAAGGTCGGGTCCTCGGGGGTAGAGTCATGGGATCGAAATCATCTCCGGCACCTGAAAAACCTCCGCCGTGGGGAGAATTGCCCGCCATTTTCAAAAGATCTGCAAACGGAGCAAAAATGAGCAAAATGAGCCGAAGTTGGAAAAAGTCAACAAAAGTCAACTCTCGGGAAATGAAAAGTCAACAAAAGTCAACTCCCGAGAAAATATTCCAAATATTGAGACAAACTTACCTCGAGTGGTGAAAATGCAAAAAGAAGCTCCGAAGCCGGAATTTAATCGCTTCAAAGTGCTTGAAACTGAGTGTTTTTGCGAAAACAATTTGCGCGGGGCGTTGGAAAACGCGTGTGAAACTCAAAACTGGAGAGGAAAGTGTTGTAGATGGCAAGAAATGAAGGAGCTTCGGCTGCCTTTTATAGGCTTCAAGGCCTTGGATTGAAAGAGCACCAAAAAGGAGGTGAAAGACCAAAATGCCCCTGAGTTTGGACAAATGGCCGGCCGGCCCCTATTTCTAGCCGGCCAGCTATCTGCTTTTTGTAGAAATGGCCGGCCAGCCATTAGCTTTATTGGAAACCGGTTGGCCACCCCCCCTTGGGAAGATAAATGGCCGGCCATGTTCCCCACATGCCCACCTAGCTCTCTGCAAATTTTGAGGAAGATCGGAGTTCCCGGGACCTGAAAAAGTTTAAGAAAAGTACACTCCCGGTCGCGAAATAGCTCCGTCGAGACTTCGGCTTCAAGTTCTGACATATGTCTCATCATCACTCATCGAAATCAAAGTGTATCCTTTTTGAATGAGTTGTAACCTTTCAGGGAAGCAGATCGGAGGCCTTGATTGAGTTACCTTCGCCGAAACACGCATTTCCATACTCGTTATTTCATGACAAATGAACACCTCGATTTATGTTCGTTTTGTACTATCGTGCGCATAACTTGCATTCTCATGAGCATACCTGCATCAACGTGCACATTTCTTGATATTGGCATACCTCTGTGTTTGAGCATGCGTTGTCACGCATGTTCCACTCTTGCATTGCGATGCATTCACTCACCGGCACTGCGTGTGTCAAACTTTCGGAATCACATTAAATATATGTTGTTAGCATATTGTGCTTGTTTCAGTATTGACAGCATTAGGCCTGCGGGCATCAGTTCAGTATTGTCAGTATCAGGCCTGCGGGCATCAATTCAGTATTGACAGCATTAGGCCTGCGGGCATCAGTTCAGTATTGTCAGTATCAGGCCTGCGGGCATCAATTCAGTATTGACAGCATTAGGCCTGCGGGCATCAGTTCAGTATTGTCAGTATCAGGCCTGCGGGCATCAATTCAGTATTGACAGCATTAGGCCTGCGGGCATCAGTTCAGTATTGTCAGTATCAGGCCTGCGGGCATCAATTCAGTATTGACAGCATTAGGCCTGCGGGCATCAGTTCAGTATTGTCAGTATCAGGCCTGCGGGCATCAATTCAGTATTGACAGCATTAGGCCTGCGGGCATCAGTTCAGTATTGTCAGTATCAGGCCTGCGGGCATCAATTCAGTATTGACAGCATTAGGCCTGCGGGCATCAGTTCAGTATTGTCAGTATCAGGCCTGCGGGCATCAATTCAGTATTGACAGCATTAGGCCTGCGGGCATCAGTTCAGTATTGTCAGTATCAGGCCTGCGGGCATCAATTCAGTATTGACAGCATTAGGCCTGCGGGCATCAGTTCAGTATTGTCAGTATCAGGCCTGCGGGCATCAATTCAGTATTGACAGCATTAGGCCTGCGGGCATCAGTTCAGTATTGTCAGTATCAGGCCTGCGGGCATCAATTCAGTATTGACAGCATTAGGCCTGCGGGCATCAGTTCAGTATTGTCAGTATCAGGCCTGCGGGCATCAATTCAGTATTGACAGCATTAGGCCTGCGGGCATCAGTTCAGTATTGTCAGTATCAGGCCTGCGGGCATCAATTCAGTATTGACAGCATTAGGCCTGCGGGCATCAGTTCAGTATTGTCAGTATCAGGCCTGCGGGCATCAATTCAGTATTGACAGCATTAGGCCTGCGGGCATCAGTTCAGTATTGTCAGTATCAGGCCTGCGGGCATCAATTCAGTATTGACAGCATTAGGCCTGCGGGCATCAGTTCAGTATTGTCAGTATCAGGCCTGCGGGCATCAATTCAGTATTGACAGCATTAGGCCTGCGGGCATCAGTTCAGTATTGTCAGTATCAGGCCTGCGGGCATCAATTCAGTATTGACAGCATTAGGCCTGCGGGCATCAGTTCAGTATTGTCAGTATCAGGCCTGCGGGCATCAATTCAGTATTGACAGCATTAGGCCTGCGGGCATCAGTTCAGTATTGTCAGTATCAGGCCTGCGGGCATCAATTCAGTATTGACAGCATTAGGCCTGCGGGCATCAGTTCAGTATTGTCAGTATCAGGCCTGCGGGCATCAATTCAGTATTGACAGCATTAGGCCTGCGGGCATCAGTTCAGTATTGTCAGTATCAGGCCTGCGGGCATCAATTCAGTATTGACAGCATTAGGCCTGCGGGCATCAGTTCAGTATTGTCAGTATCAGGCCTGCGGGCATCAATTCAGTATTGACAGCATTAGGCCTGCGGGCATCAGTTCAGTATTGTCAGTATCAGGCCTGCGGGCATCAATTCAGTATTGACAGCATTAGGCCTGCGGGCATCAGTTCAGTATTGTCAGTATCAGGCCTGCGGG